GGCTCAGGCAATCCACTCGCCTTGGCCTCCCAAAGTGCTAGGATTACAGGCTGAGCCACCAAGCCCGGCTGTGTGTCCAACTTTATCACATTAATATTATGCCATAAGCATTCTGTTTGCTTTACTGCTAAGAGTTACTAAACTAAGAGTGATGGTTTACTCTATAAAGGCTTTTATGGGTTAGGTCAAGTTATTTTAGTAAAAAATATTCTCCTTATGTAATTTCACAAGTTTAAAATCAACTTTTAGTCCCAGAATCATGTGTAGCTTTTCAGAACTTCCATGCAACCCGAGGAGCTAATTTGAGGGGGGGAAATGCCATTTTATATTTGATTTATGCAACAAGTTATGCTGCTGCTTTGGGGGGCGGGTGTTGGGTTTGTTTTAGTTTTTTTTGGTTTTTTTTTTTTGAGTTGGAGTCTCACTCTGTTGCCCAGACTGGAGTGCAGGGGCATGCTCCCAGCCACCGCAGCCTTGACCTGCTGGACTCCAGCGATACTTCCGCCTCAGCCTTCCAAGTAGCTAGAACTACAGGCGTGCACTACCACGCCCGGCTAATTTTTTGATTTATTGTAGAGATGAGGTCTTGCCAAGTTGCCTGGATAGATCTCGAAAGCGCGGGCTCAGGCAATCCACTCGCCTCAGCCTCCCAAAGTGCTGGGATTACAGGCTGAGCCACCAAGCCCAGCCTGTTCTGGATTTTTACTGAGTTGAAGTCTCACTGTCGCCAGGCTGGAGTGCAGAGGTATGCTCACAGCCACCGCAGCCTCGCCCTGCTGGGTTCAGGCAATCCTTCCACCTTGGCCTTGCAAGTAGCTGTAACTACAGGCGCATGCCACCACACCCGGCTAATGTTTTGATTTATTGTAGAGACGAGATCTTGCCAAGTTGTCCAGGCTGGTCTCTAACCCTGGACTCAGGCAATCCTCTCACCTCCACCTCCCAAAGTGATGGGATTACAGGCTTGAGCCATCGCACCCAGCTTGTTACGCTTTTTTAAAAGCAGATTTCATAATACTAAAAAGGGTCAATAGCTTGAAAAATTGTATCCCTATTTCTATATATGATGCTGGTTAATTTCCCATTCTATCTTGGATCAGGTAGTCACTTTAAGATGACATGGTATCGGACAGGCCCAGTGGCTCACATCTATAATCCCAACACTTTAGAAGGCCAAGGCAGGAGTACTGCTTGAGCCCAGGAGTCTGAGACCAACATAACAAGACCTCATCTCTATAAAGAATCAAAAAACACTAGCCTGGCATGGTGGTGCACACCTATAAGTTCCAGCTACTCTGGGGGCTGAGGGAGGATCACTTTAACCCAGGATTTTGAGGCTGAAGTGAGCCATGATCGTGCCACTGCACTCCAGCCTGGATGACAGAATAAGACCTCGACTAAAAAAAAGAAAAAGAATGATCTGATATGAATTATTTTTCCATGTACATGTTGGTCAGTCACAACTGTAGACACTGTAGATTTTTTCTCTGTACAGAGGTCTGAAGCTAAACTTAATTACTTTTTAAAATAAAATACAAAATTTACTTTTATTAAATGAGCTATAAAATAGTAGTACATGTATAGTTTAATATCTTATTTCTATTTCCTCTTTGATGCTTTCAATATTTTAAAATTAAGATGTCCGAACTGGCAACTTTTAGATTTCAATTTTTTAAAATAGTAAATAAATTATATGAATCCTTATTACCACCCATATGATATAAACATCTTGAACATACAATGAAGACAAATATCCCACAGATTCAGAAAACTAGATAATGTCATTATATTTGAACATGATTCTCTTTCTGAAAGTCTCTGGACTTCAAACTTGCATGCAGATTTTCTTCTATTCTTCAAAACTCCAATGTCAAAAAAGTTAACACTTTTGTAGTAAATTAAAATTAACAGAAACTTACATGTTTATTTAAAACAACTGCACAGAACAAAAACAATTGCTGAAGTGTTTTAACCACTTCATCACAAAAGAACTATTTAAAATTTATCATAAATCTATACCTTTCAAGATCTCTGGCCCAAAGGACAAGATTATATGCCAAAGTAATCTAATCAGCATTGTGAGATAGGCTGTCCCGGTTTATACAGGTAAGTCTTAGGTCTCAGACTCTTCTACCATAAAAGAACTTTCATAACTCTAAAAGGTACATCAAGGGTTCATCAAAATATCATTAGAACACCTTGTAAAACCACTTAACAACAAATATGTCTTCCTTGGCTAATCAAAATGGAAAGGATTGTTCATTCATGTGAAAACTGGTGCTACCTTTAGTACTGTGAAAAAGTGACTGATTATTTTTTAAGTATCTCCAAGTTGGGAGGCATTTTTTGTAGCTCAATATATGTAGCTCAAATAGGAGTTACACGCAAGTTTGGTGTATTCTATGAATCTGTATCTTGTTACTGTGATTCTGCTCTCTTGTATCACATGGAAACTTTGCCCTTCTCAAATCTGAAAGGAAATTCATAGGCCGTTCTGAGGAGAACAGGGAACTGTCACAAACTCAATTCCCAACCCTCTTTTTTAAGCAAAGATTAGAAAAACGAATACCAAGTTTTTTTTGTTAATCCTGCGTATGATCTTGCTAAACGGTGTATTGCTAAAACTCAAATTCTGACAGGACTACAATGGCAGCACCTCCACAAATGAAACAATTTTCCAATTAAAGAGGAGTCCTGGTGCAGTGAAAGCGTAGGACTTAGGAAGAATCAAGAACTACTTTCGAGATCCTGTTGGGGGGGATATCTTAATTCACTTATCCAAGGGGCCTCAGGTTCCTCGTGTGAAAAGTGAAAGAATGCATTAGATCTCCGTTGACCTTCTCTAAAAACCGCTTCTTCCCAAGAATGCATTAAATCTTCGTTGACCTAGCTCTAAAAACCGCCTCTTCCCAAGGTCCACGGTTAGTTTTCATAACTTACCACGGTATGCGAGGAAGGCAGGATGGGTTCTGCCCACAATCTTGAAGACGTTCAGCGTTTTGGTTAATAATTTGACAGACAATTTTAAGTAGCACAGTTACAGAAGCAGCAGCCCGCCTTGCTGGTCAAGGGTGACTCAAACCTTGCTGAGCCATTTATTTATTGGCCGGCTTGTACAGACACCACTTGTGTAAGGCCATTCCACCAGATTAAGGTGGTTAAACATAAATCAGGCCCTGGTGCCCGAGTGTGCCCACCCAGGGTGCACCCCGGGACGCTACAAGGTCAGGGGTCGGCGGGATGAGTGCGGGGTTGGCCCTGGAGCTGGGTTATCCAAATGTCCTCGGGGCCTCAACTCCAAAGAAGCATGCCCCGGACCCAAATACTCCTCCCTTTTCCAGGTCTCGAAAAGGACGCTGAACCAGTTCATCTGGAGCGGGGGAGGAGGAGGAAGAAGGCAGGGTGTAGTACTATCGGCGCTGAGTGGCGGCGGCAGAAGAGGCCAGGCCTTTGGGGGACCAACGAAAATTTTGGTTTTTAAGCCCCAACCCAACCGCAGCGCCTCCCGCGAAAAGACCTTTTCAGCCGCCTGGGCACGGGAAGCGGGCGGCCAGAGGAAGAACAAGGGGAGGAGGCGCGAAGTCCTTACCCACTGCAAAGCTGGCGGCTGCCGGCCGCAGCCGGCGGCTCCAGTACCAGAGGCCGGAGGCGGCTCCTCGGAGCCGTAAGGAGGCTGCCATGCTGCCCCCGCCCCGCCTCCCCGCGGTGACCTCCGCAGCCTCCCAGCTGGCCCACCCACTGCGAGCGTGTGCAGCTTGACGGGCGGGCTCGGCCGCGGCGTGGGACCGCGCGCGCGCGCTCTCGCTGCTCGGGGCGGGCGCTCATTGGCTGAGAGGAGGAGCGCCGCACCAAGAGGAGGTGCTCGACGGGACAGGGCCCGTCAATCCCCTTAAGGACAAGGAAGCAGACCAATCAGAATTCCTAGATCCGCGGCTACGCGAAGCACCAATAAGAGACCTCCTTGAGCCGCTACCTCTGGGTTCCCCAGCCCCGCCCCCTAGCTCCCTCCTCTTACAGCCTGCGGGCGGGTGTCTCCTTGTTTACCAAACCGGAGGGTGTGTGGGGATCGGTGGCTGTCGCTCCCTATCACCTCTTCGGAGCAGCTGCCCCACCCGCCCCAAAATCGCTCTTCCGAGGCTGTAACTGCCTGTTTCCTCCATGCAATAAAGGGCAAAACTGACTCGCAGCTTAAAAACCAATCGTAGAAATCTACCGTGTGTGATAACTTTTTAGTTCATTTGATTTTATTTAACCCGACAGTTTCTCAATAAACTTAAAAACAGTAGGAAAACATGTTGGTCATATTACTTTGAAGGGTAGAATTACTAGGAACTTGCACTTTCTATTCCAAGACATATTTCAATAATGTTTGAAAATTCTACAGCCTAAATCCATTTTGTAAGCAAAAACTAAAGATAAATTAAAATCAGGAAAGTAGTGTATATGTGTGTGTGTGTTAGACAGGCATGTAGTCATTCTTCTGTCGGTGCTCAGTGTACATATTTGAGTCTCTGAACCAGTTGAAGATCATTGCAGGTCTTCCCATCCCCACTGATTCCACCAAAAGGTTGAGAAACATGAGCACGCCAAAGCTAGACTTTCAGCCTTTGGAGAAAGTTAGTACAAAAGAGACTAAGTAAGGAGTAGCTAGAGAAATAGGGTGGTATCCACCACCTGCCACCCAAATTCATTTTATTTATTCATGATTGCCAAGGGCTGTACTCATCCAGCATTTTAATCTAAGAAGCAGAATCAACAGATTTAACTTTGACCTTTTTTTTTTTAACCTCCAACCAGTCACCCATGGAGTTTAAAACGGTTGAAGGGAAAGCAAAGGAATTGGACAATTTCCAAATGGGTTCTCTCATGATTGTGGCCGTGTTTCCAAGAACCAGTACAAAGTGCATTGTCTTCCATCTGTAATTGGTAGGAAAACAATTCCCTTATTTGGCAGTCTCTCCTTCACCCCCAAATTCTACCCTACACCAACTAAAAAGAAGGCAAGGACAAGAGAGAAGTAGGAAACACTCATTTCAGCAACTGGACAATCTCCTAGATTTGGGTCCCCACCCCTAATAGAAGTCTTCATTGGTTTCTAGAGTTTTTCCTATCTATTACTCTTGGTTTCTTTGAGTTTTAGCTGGAATAAACCTGCAACCAATAAATGTGGCCCTACAGGTTTCTATAATTAACTACTAAAAAGCAGTCAGCCTTTCAACTATGTCAATCTATAATACATAGCAGAGCTATTTACAACACAGGACAACAGCTGAATTTTTATCTCTTTTGAGATTCTATATCCAATCAGATTGCTTTTGCCATTTTTATTGTAAGCTACTGTTTTTGCTTCTTTAGGTTGTTTATAGGGCTCTTTTCGTAAAAATGAGTGTTTACAAAAGGCTGCCTCCTGTGAATAGTGTTCTCCTAGGACCAGCAACGGAGAAAAGGGAAGAAACTCAGAAAGAGCAGGCAGAACTAAAGCTGGGCATGAGGCCTTAACTTTTTTATTTTAATGATGGTGATGACTTTGAAAACAGAGTGGTATTGAAAGTATGATCCTTTTTGTTCAACGGTAACTAGAGGATAAGTCACAATGTTTCCACATTTCTACATCATGTAGACTAATGTCTCCTCCCAGAAGCCTTATATTGATTTGTAAATTAAGGATTTTTTATAGATTTCTTATAAGAACTGTGATTTTTTTTTTTTTTTTTTGTAATTCTTTTTTTTTTTTTTTTTTTGAGTTGGCATCTCACTCTATCGCCCAAGCTAGAGTGCAGCCATACTTGCGGTCACCACAGCCTCAACCTGCTGGGCTCAAGCGATCCTTCCACTTCAGCCTTCCAGGCATCTAGTACTACAGACACGCGCCAAGTAATTCTTACTATTTGAAAATGTATGTAAATATTATTGTATTAGCAAAGGTAGTTACTGTCTGTGGATAGTTTTCTTTATTTGACTGCCCTCCTGATACTTTATTTGAAAGATACTGCAGCTTCTCCCTAAATCTTAGCCACATATTTTTGTTTGAAATTGTTTCAAAGTCTTATAGTAGCCTGTGACTTCCGCTTCTAGGAAGATGTAATAGATATATTTTTTCTATTTCTTCCACTAAGTACAACTAAAACCTCTCACATGATATATAAAACAAACAAAAGACTGAAAAGTAGAGAGAAGTCATGCTGGTTAGGGATTCCAGAGAGGAACACAGTGGTAAAGTTCCTTGGGTTTTTATTTAGCCTTATATATCCTAAAATAGGTTAGTGAAGCCAAACACCAGAAACCCCAAAATGCAAGAGGCATAGACCAAAAAAAAAAAAAGAATGTCCCAATAAAAGACAGTTTTCTCTCACCAGAAAGTGGTAGCCTAACAAAACAGAAAACATCTAGAAGATAACCACTCAAATGTGGGCACACACACACACACACACACACACACACACACACACACTCACACACTCACACACTCACACACACACACAAACTGTGGCCTCATTCCCACAAAGCAAAGACCAAATGGGGAGCCTGGAATTCCTATTCTCCAAGCTGTGATGAGACACTTCAATATCCTAACACCCTACTCCCCCTACTCTTCAACCCCTTCAAGGTGATGTCAGAGAAAAGACTAGTAGAAAGCTGGAGCTTTCATCTTCAACATTGTGCAATAACAAGCACCCCTACATGCACTTGCCTCTCCATACCCTCAGTGTCTCCGGAGACCACATATCAAGTGTGGATTTCCACTCCTACTTTACAGTAATGAGGTGCCCCTCCCTTTCCCTGCTGGGGTGGTGTCTTGAGGAGGCCTACTGGAGAATCAGAACTTTCACCACTTACGGCCCAGAAGTAAGGAGGTCACCCTTTCTTTCTGTGGCAGGGTTCCCCAAGCCCCAGACCACAGAAAGTTTCATCTGTATTTACAACCGCTCCTCATCACTAACATTGCCACCTGGGCTCTGCCTGCTGTCAGATCAGCAGAGGCATTAGATTCTCATAGGAGCATAAACCCTATTGTGAACTATGTATGTGAGGGATCTAGGTTGCATGCTCCTTATGAGAATCTGATGTCTGATGATCTGAGGGGGAGCTGAGGCAGTGATGCTAATACTAGGGAGTGACTGCAAATTACAGGTTCGCATTAGCAGTGAGGTGTGACTGCACGGAGACCATAATAAATCAATTGTTTGCAGACATATCAAAACTCTACAGTGAGTGGAAGTGAGTTGATATGCTTCAATTGTACAGCTGCCCCTGGTGGCAGGCTTTAAGACAAAACACGACATTTATTTTAGTCTAGGTATGGCCTGCCAATTATTTTATTTACCACTTCCATCCACACCTCTTTTTTTTTAAATGGTGAGTTGTATAATTATTTCAGAAGTAAAGTGTACAATAAATGTTATTCACTTGAATCATCCCAAAACCACTCCCCTCACCATCCGAGAAAAAATTGTCTTCCATGAAACCTGTCCCTGATGCCAAAAAGGTTAGAGCCACTGCCCTATGGCATCAGTGGAGGTCACACCAGGAGCAGGAATGAGGCATTCCAACCCCTGTCAGCTAAGGAATTATCAGTGGAAGCCTAGAGTGGCTTGAACTCCCACTCTTCTCTAGCAAAACTGAGAAGCTCCCTGCCCTTGGTGTCAATAGAAGCAAAATAGGGAACCTAGACTTCTACCATCACTAGGAAATTACAAATCCCTGCCACAGCAGTGTCAGGAAAGGCCAGTTAATATAGAAGGTTTAAGTAAGATCCAGAGTGTCATAATACCCAAACATTCAGATTTCAGTCAGAAATCACTCATAAGACCAAAAGCCAGGAAGATCTCAAGTTGAATGACAAAAGACCATCAATAGATACCAACACCAAGATGACAATTAAAATTATCTGACAACGATTTGAAAGTAGCCATCAGAAAAACATTTCAATGAGCAATTAAAACATGCTTGAAATAAATGAAAGACTCTTCTCAGTAAATAAATATAAAATATAAAAAAGAAATAAATGAAAATTTTAGAATTGAAAAATGCAAGAAATGAACATTGAAAACTTAATGAGCTCAACAGCAGAATGGAGAAAAGAGTTAGTGAACTAGAAAATAGAACAATGGAAATTACCCAATGTAAACAACGGAGAGAAAATAAACTGGGATTAGAAAGAAAAACTATGGCCTGGCTCGGTGGCTCAGCCTGTAATCCCAGCACTTTGGGAGGCTGAGGCAAGTGGATTGCCTGAGCCCATGGGTTTGAGACCAGCCTGGGCAACTTGGCAAGGCCTCGTCTCTACAGTAAATCAAAAATTAGCCAGGCGTGGTAGTGCGTGCCTGTAGTTCCGGCTAATTGGAAGGGTGAGGCGGAAAGATCGCCAGAGCCCAGCAGGTTGAGGTTGTGGTGGCTGGGAGCGTGCCACTGCACTCCAATCTGGGCGACAGAGTGAGACTCCAACTCAAAAAAAAAAAAAAAAAAGAAAAAAGAAAAACTACAAAGCTCAGGGGCTGTGATGTGATAATAAAAAAGATCTAACATTCCTGTGGTCAGAGCCTGGGAAGAAGAGAAAAAAGAATTTCCCAACAAGATCCACATTATCTAATCATTTTCACACTTGTTCCCAAGATATTACTCACTCACCTCCTGATAAGATGGTACTTTCTCCTTTGCCCAGATCACTCTGAGTTCCTCAGGTTCTCTCTTTTTTTCTTCTTTCCTTCCTTTACTTTTTCCTTTTTCACACATTCTAACATCTCTTCTGTACTCTTCACCTTTTAGAACTCTACTCAGAATGACCTCCCCCACGAAGTCTTTTTCTTATATAAGCAGTCATGAAAATAATTCAGTCAGTTAAGAAACAATATCTGGGCTGGGCTCAGTAGCTCAGCCTGTAATCCCAG